GCGATTATGGTAAGGGTCGTTACATTTCCGATGAGTGCTTGCGGTGTTCGGCCAATCACAGTGCACTGGGTCAGCTGGCCAATCAGAGCGGACTGCGCTTGTCTGAAGGAGGGACTTTGTAGAAAACGAAGCGTTTGAGAGAGGCGGGGCATAGAGGACCTACAATAATGTACAGTATTGGAAAAATAATGTGTTTTTTGAACATTAAAGCATGTCAACATATTCTGTTACACCAAATACACAAAATAATGATCTTTAAAAAAGCATCATATGACCCCTTTAAAAACACATGCAAATGATAAAATGTCGTGCCGACGCTGCAGTGGCCCGATCGGGCAAGTGACAAATCCGTCTACTGTCCCGAACGTCTTTCACGCTGGCCCCGGGCCATCGGGCAGTCCTTATTGTCTAGCCCTGAATAGGCACTAAAGCTTTCAAGGTTCAAAAAGGACTCAAAACCACCATAAAAGTGTCATAGAAATGGTCAAAACATCTTCTGAAGCCATACAATACCTTTTGTGAGGAAATTATAGAAATATTTTTCTTTTCTGTTATAAATTGAGAATCATACAGTCCAATTCGTGAACAAATCATTCAGACCAGTTTTGTGAAAATAACTGACTCAGAATAATTTCTTCACAAATCTGACATTACGGAATGCGCCAGGAGATTTTCAGGGAATAATGACTTACATTTCCGTCTGTACCTTGCAAAAAGCAATCATATGACTTCAGAAGACTGATTATAGTACACAAAACATATAGACCAATTTGATTATACTTTTATGGTGCTTTTCAATCTTTTTCAAGCTTCAGTTTCTTTATAATTGCATAAAAATAAGGCATTTATATGGGGTAAATAATGACAGAAAGTTCTTTTTTTTATGTGAGCTATCCCTTTAATCTGTTATCAACATCATACATAGGAAAATCTAACCTGTGCAATTAGGATGCCGATGACCACCCCGAGCTGGTGAAGGGTACCAAAAGCCCCTCGCAGTGCCGTTGGAGCAATTTCACCCACATACATGGGCGTCAATCCTGTACACAGGCCACAGAAGGCACCAATAACCAGACGGCCCACTATTATCAACTCGTAAGAGGTGCACATGCTGGATAAACCCATCAGGCCTCCACCAATCAGAGCCAGGATGTTGGACAGAAGCATGCATTTTCGTCTGTAATGAGAAGATGGGAGATGAATAAAGGAAAGTTTTTTAACAAAGCATTTATGTTTGTTTTATGTTAAAAGAAACTGTGTGATTTTCTCACCTCCCTAGTTTGTCAACCAGAGTGCCAACAGTAAGAGACCCGATCATGCCGCCAACATTGAAAATGGAAACAGTTACACTCCACACTGTTGTCAATGTGGATTTATCCATTGGCTCTCCACTGCGCTCCTGAGTCACGTTTCTGATGAAGTTCTGCACTTTCTGATCATCAACAGAGAGACAGACAATGAGTGATGAAGTAATGAAGTGTTGTTTTTTGAAGTCTAAAATGCTACTCACTTGATGAAACACTTACCTCATCGGGTGCATTGATGACGCCTGTGTTGTAGCCAAACTGCAAGGAGCCGATGACGGCCGTGGACACACAGAACATGAGGCACCATGTCACCTGCTTCCCCTGGACAAAAAGAAGGAACACATACTGTAAGATGCAGAAAAATGAAAAGAGTAAAGATGAATGTAAGACAAAAGGTAAAACTGAGGCTGTCATCAGTTTGGGGGTCTGTGGCATCAAAAGTTTGGAAAACTCCTGCATTAAAAGGCTAACAGAGCCAAACAGATGAAGAAAAGCAGAGTCTTTCTCACTTTTACCATTATTTTTAGCACACAAATCACACTCTCGCGTCACACAGTAGTCACACTCATTCCTTCAATATCCTCTGTTTGTAAAGTTGCTAAACCCTATTAGGAAATTATGAAATGAAACAGCTATGAAATTCTTTAAATTTATTTTATTTATACTTCCTCACATTCAAATTCAAAATGCAATTCTGCATCCTTGTTTTCTACTTCAATTCAGCAGGTAGACTGAGTCTAAAGACATTCTCAATTCAATTCTAAATGGTGCACAAATTCTGATAGCAACATATATCACACAATGCAGTATTTCCCAGAGTATGTGTGAAAGTGGAACAGGACTGTTGCATACATTAGTAAGCAATAATAACTGGAATGCTTGTGTCCCTATGTGTCATTCTTTCCTAAATGAAATTCTGAAACTGTCTGGCTGCTCCGATCTTAATGCCTGTTCCTTTTTCTTGTGTCAAATTAAAAGAAAATAGAAATAACGACTTAAGCTGACTGCAGAGGAACCTAAGTTGACCAGAGATTAAAGAGTTAAAATCTGCATGACTGATGGTACAAATACGTCAGTGGGAAAAGCACAGAAAACCACACATTTAGACCAGTTCCCACTAGTTCTCACATGTTAAGCTATGCGGGTTATGGGTTACAAAGTTCAGTAGTCTGAGGGCCTGTGTATTGGGTGCATTTTTTTTTTTTTTGAGGGAGAGAGGGAGAGAGAGAGAGAGAGAAATTTACAATTAGTAACCAAAAGGGGTCATTTGCAATGGTTTTCCATGAAGTTATAATAATCTGGAGTGGATTGCTTATAAGGAACTTCCTTCAATACTGCATTTGGCAAATGTCAGTACAAAAAGAAATAGTGTACTGCAACTTTAAACCTGCACACAGAACCCTCTGGCAAGTCTGATGTTTTGATAAAGACTTAAACACACACAAGCTGTCTCCTGGAGGAGTGACTGTGAACAAGGATATGGGTGTCATCATGTAATCTGTAAGTAGCCAAGAGTCATCTTAATGAATCTAATGTTCATAATGACTTCTGCTGATAGAGGATGATCCATCACTTCATTTTTCATCTCTATTGAGCAGAACAGACCTAACCACATATTTGCACATCCCACCATACAACCCCCAGCCTCCATAACTTAATTGACCATATGTGACCCTGGACCACAAAACCAGTCATAAGGGTCAATTTTTTGAAATTGAGATTTATACATCATGAAAATCAGCTGAAAGCTGAATACATAAGCTTTCCATTGAGGTATGGTTTGTTATGATAGGACAATATTTGGCCAAGATACAACTATTTGAAAATCTGGAATCTGAGGGTGCAAGAAAATCAAAATGCTGAAAAAATCTTTAAAGTTGTCCAAATGAAGTTCTTAGCAATGCATATTACTAATCAAAAATTAAGTTTTGATATATTTACGGTAGGAAATTTACAAAATATCTTCATAGTGCATGATCTTTACTTAATATCCTAATGATTTTTGGCATAAAAGAAAAATCAATAATTTTGACCCATACAATGTATTTTTGGCTATTGCTACAAATATACCCCAGCGACTTAACACTGCTTTTGTGCTCCAGGATGCATATTATAATCAAAAATTAAGTTTTGATATATTTACGGTAGGAAATTTACAAAACATCTTCATGGAACATGATCTTTACTTAATAGCCTAATGATTTTTGGCATAAAAGAAAAATCGATAATTTTGACCCATACAATGTTTTTTTTGGCTATTGCTAAAAATATACCCAAGCGACTTAAGACTGGTTTTGTGGTCCAGGGTCACATATTTATTTATGAAATCAACACACTTAGTGTTAGACTCACTTAATAGATTTGTAATGAGCTGCAATGGATGCTAAATTGGCACACTCAGATTGGAAATTTCCATTCTGTCTGTCCATTCTACAACAAGTAAGAACCGGTCAGGATGCTGTTCATATTATGTTCAAGTTTGAACATGCCAGCTGAACCCTGCTCTAAACATTAATTTCTCCTTGTCGGTTTCCTTTGCACATCTTGGTTTCTTAATTCACATGCTGCAATCCAAGGTGGCAAAGCAGGTCAAAGTTCCACTACCACCTTTGTATTTTTTATATTTGTTAAGGTGATGAGTCATATCAATTGAAAACTAATAGCCTGAACAGATATTACCTAAGGATATCTCCGTAAACCCACTATGCAACACACAAATGGTCCACAATCAACATGTAAATCGCGAGAGAATTAAAAACAAATGACAACATTTCAAATCTACACCAGATGCCCATGGGCATCCCCTAAATTTTTACTACAGTTCTTGCATGGTAACCACAGTTTCCTGTATATGGGATAATAGTAACACCTATATCACAAATTATGGTACATGTTATGAAAACATAGGAACCAACTGCCATAAAAATACGCAGATTATGCGTATTACATTAAACACCATAATTTCTGTATGTAATCCCTGAAAAAGGACACTTTAGCATATACCTTTAAAAGAGTATTTCTTAAGTGCAAACTGAAAGTAACCTAATCGGATGTTATCTGCAATTAAATGAAAATGTAGAATTGTTTAAATCTATATTAAATGTAATTAGCTCAACTTTAGAGTGCTTTTTTGACTTTTTTTTTTGAGAAGCAGGATTTTATATGTAACTTCATTATTCTATTGTGTTTGAAATATGATTATATGATGATTGCATGATTAAAGTGTACTGTCAAATTTATTTACATGCATTTATGGTAAACTATAATATATTTTAATGACATTTCTCTTGAAACTTGTAAGTGATGTATTAAAATATATTTGTATTTATTTACTCATTTTTAATGATAAATTTGCAATTTAGTTCTTAATATTACTTAGTAATATTGAATAATACACTATAGTAACAATGAATGTATGTTATTCAACACATGGAAATAAGTGTGCTTCTTTAAAGCAAAAATGATTTCAAAGAATAAAGTTAAACTTAATTAGAATTTTTTTTAAAAAGTGCACTTTGTGCACTTAAGTGTGTTAAGAAACAGTCATGAAGTTCAAATATTATTTGCAGTTTTTTAAAAATACTTTTAATATTACACTAGTGCACATTCTTTTTCACAAGGGATCTATAGTAAAACTGTAAATAAAATAAAAAGTTACTATTTCATAAGGGTCATAGTGATGGTAAAGCCTTTACTTAGAAATCATAAAGAAGAAAGCTAAACATCACCACTGATTCTGTATAAAGACATAGACAGAGGAGAAAAGACTCTACCTTACTGTCCTTCATCTTCTCCATCCTGCTCTCGATTGAGACAGAAGTCTTCAGTTCAGTTCTTCCTCTTTTAGCAGTGAGACCAAACTTATGTTTTCAGGGTAAACACAAATCCGTATTTGGAAAAGCTTCTAGAGGGAGAAAAAAAGAATATGAATAGTTGTTGTCAGTAATGATAAGGAATGAGACAATCCTTTTATGTCTTCACCAAGATGAACGACAAAAAACAGCTTCCTGCAACGGATGTCTGCTGAGTTGAGATGACAGTAGAGCATCGTTGTGCAAAGCAAATTGCAAAGTAAATGTCGAAGTCAAATACAAGAGGCATCTCTGTCAGCCCAAGATCCACCCTATATTGCTCAAACTTAGTCTTTTTGGTTGTCCAGTAACATCAAATCCTCAATCCTGCATCAATCTAGCTAAAGTTAATCAGTCTACCAGTGAATAAAATAAAACTTGCTTTAGTTAACAGCTTCATGCAGTTCTAATTAGTTAGTAATAAAATGTAAAGTGGTCAAAGAAGTACAATGAACTTTACTGCAGGCTTATTTTAAAGTTAAGGCAACGATTTTTTACATTTTAAATAGCCTAGGCTACTAATAGTTGGTAATGAAGCAGCAGCATCATGAGTAGCCTATTTTAATAAAATATAATTCCAAGGCTAATTATAGTCCGTTATATTTCTATATAATAATTATATTTACGTTTGTTTGCAGAGCTCCTGTATCGATCAGGTAGTTGCTGGTGTGTGATGAAACACTCTCGCGCTCGTGGCTTTTATGGAGAGTGATACACGAGCAGCAGCACGTTGTACTTTTTGGCGTCACGCCAGTGCTCCCCCTGTTTCTGTAACATCCGAGTCGCTGGATTAAACCAGAACTTCATCTCAAGACATTCGCGTAACATCCTTTAGTTGGAAATGATCGCCGCATCTCAAAATCTAGTGAGCATCCACCTAGTCAGCATCTGAGCATCAATTAGAACGTGCCAATGATGCCAGAAACGCCGTCTAGGCAGGCAACTCACGAGGTTTTGAGGCAAAGCCTGGTTTATTAATGTCCTTATTTGGTCATTCGCCGCATAGACTGAACGTGAATCGCGCCTCTTTTCTTCTGGCGCAGCATCCCACCAGATTTAAACTTGCCAAAAGTTGCTGCGTGACACAATAAGCCCGTTATTGTTGTCATGTGTTTGTAAACAAGTAGTCTTCTCTTCCGAGACCGGACAATTTGCGGGGTTTGCTGGCACTTCATACAAGTGTGTGATCTAGTGATAACAAATGTTTCGTTGCCTACGCTCCTTAGCTTTCGTTTGTTCATTGAAATGGGCTAAAAAGGCATTACAAATTAATTTCTATCACGTTGGATGCACTTATTAATCATAACATAAAGTTACAAAGTAGGCTAATAATCGATTTGCGTTTGGTTTCTGGCAGTGTAGATAATGACCTAAAAGTGTATTATTACACTAAAAACAAAGTAATAATGTATATAACAATACACAAAAACACGGAACACTATAGTTGTCTGTGTTTTTAGGACAGACAAACAGGAACTTGCAAAGGAAACACATTTTGAGAACTGAGATCAGCTATTGATAGCATCCTGCCACTGCGGTATTTTTTCTTTTAGTATAAACTAAACTCTGAACCTTTTAAAACAAATTCTCTGGGAGTCTGGGAGATTTTAATTGGCCTACTTAAAAATACTATAGACACCTGTATTGTGAAGGGTATCCATTTCCCATTATCCCACAGCATCTCAGCCTGTCAAGCTCCTACATGCTTCAGTTATGTACTAAATCTGTCACCGACATGAAAGAAAAGTTTAACATGGACAGACTTGTAGGCTACAAATGAAAATGTGGATAGCATATTTTAAAGGGGGCATATGATTTTGCTAAAAATAACATTATTTGGTGTATTTGGTGTAATGAAATGAGTTTATGCGTTTTAAGGTTAAAAAAACAAATTATTTTCCACATAGGCCTACTGTACATTATTGTTTCTCCTCTATGCCCGGCCTTTCTGAAACGCGTCGATTTTTACAAAGGTCATCGATCTGAAAAGTGCTCTGATTGGCCAGCTATCCAGTGCGTTGTGATTGGCCGAATACCTCAAGCGCCCCTTACCAATGCTACGCCCCTTTCGCGTTTGAATCGTCAGTGGCCAAAACTCGCGTTTGAATAAACATACTTACAGTCTTTGAGTCAGAACAGCCCGCATTGTAGTCTACTCTCCCAGGAAACAGTCCTCCATAAAATGTGCTGCACACATCTGAATATTTGGGTTGAACTGTTCTGGAACAGTGTTGTAAATACAACTTAACCACTGATTTCTAGTTGTGTCCTCTTTTGGAAGGCCAAACAAAGTAGTTTCACTTTCACAACGAAACAGCGTCACACACGGCGGGCTAGAGTGAGGAACGGCTAGCGGATTCGACAAAGGAGCGTCCGGCGGGCTTGCGGCAACCACATGTGACGACCCCGGGCTGGACTCTGCTTCGTCCACGGTGAAAGCCGATCCGGCGATCCACAGCGCGAAGTTGATGTATTTCCTCAGCGACCAGCACGGATCAGCTCCAGGCATGACGAAGTGGATATCATCCTCTTTTGGAAGGCAAAACAAAGTAGTTTGCTTTCACAACGAAACACACGGCAACAACAATACTACAGGGAGAATCAAAGTTACACCTTCTTTCTTTGCATGAACATTTGGGCGGCGTTATGCAAATCTTCCCACATAGTGAGGTAGATATGTGGGGGTGTGTTAGAACGAGCCGTTTTAGGTAGGCGTGGTTGACTCTTAACTTTTATTAAGAATATCTCTTTGGATTTGAGACTTTAGTGTTTGCAACTTTACAGATCTTCTTTATGCACCAAGAGCTTGTAACACTCCAAAGAGAAAGGAAAAATGTAAATCGCATCATATGACCCCTTTAAACGTGCACTGAAGTTATTAACAGAGCATTATAACACCATATGAAGTATATAATGAAGCATACAACTAAAGTGAAGCAGTTTGGAACATTTGAAGCATCTTGTTTAAATGAAAACCTACAGTATCACACAAACAAAAAGGGCAGAAAAGTTATCCATCATACACACATGCTCGCATATGATATTCTCTCCCAGTATGACTAGACTTACTCTATGCTCTCAGAATTGTTATACAAGTTTAACACCTCATCACTTCCTACAAGAATATCATTCTGTGAAGTCGAACTCACTTCTGAAAAGAAAAAAAAAATTCCATTACATTCCATTCAGCGCTCAACCATGCACTTAATTACTAATGAATAATTTCTGTGGAAATTGACTTTTCCCCATGTTTTTGTTTGGCATTTCAGTGATAAATGTTAAGCCTGGTCACATGTTATCGGGTGACCAAGACAACTATCATAAAGATCACTGCATTGTGAACATTAATACCTAAAGGCATAATTCACCCAAAAATGAAAATCCTGTCATCATTTACTCACCCTCAAGTCGTTCCAAACATCCCAATATCTTTCTTCTGTTGAACACAAAAGATGATATTTGTAGCCATTGATTTTTAAAGATTTTTTTCTCCATACTTGACATTGAACTTGAAAGTCAATGTCTACCAGCAACTGTTCGGTTACCAGCATTCTTCAAAATACCTTTTTGTGTTCAACATAAGAAATTCAAACAGGTATGGAACAACATGAGGGTGAGTAAATTATACAATTTAGTTAATAAGTTTACATCTTGATTGCTGCAGTTCCTGTGTGTCCTTGAAGACATTTGGCACTGCAGAGCATCTGCTGGATAACCTAATCTGACCAACTAACCTCTGACCGTTTGTCCTCATGTTTTGCGTCAAATATTAGAAATATATAGAAAGAGAGGAATTTCTAGGTACTGCAATCAGTATAGTCACTGCAATTGCTACATCTTAACTGTATTAGTAACGGTTGCCGTCACATTGAGGGACTAATTTATGCTACTTTACCGCCATCTGCTGTTTGAAAAGCACAATGGTCAAATAGGATTAAACAGAGCCGTTTAAAGAATGCTGGGTAACGACTTGCAGAACCGTCTAATTCCTTAATCACGGATTTCATGTAAATTCATGCTGTCTGTTCAAACTAAATCAGCCTCTGCATCATTGCTTGAGCACTATATGGCTAAATCCAGTATCTTCAGACTAGTGTTAATTAAATAGGGCAAGCAGCAGCGTTTACCCTGGTTTTTGACCATCGCACACAAATAACGGACAATTTTTTTTAAACCTCACAGATATAGCAGATATTATTCAACTCCACACCTCAAAAAGCAACTAAGCGACTCAATTTTCAGCCGGTTGAACTTGGTGGTTAATGAATGATTTAGAAAGACTGTTTGTATAAACCGTAATTTGTTTCCACTGTTAAGACGACAAAAAAAAAAAAAAAAAACTCTTCACCCTTACCATACTGTGATGCCGTGTCCGGCCAGAGCAACGAGACAAAAACATTAAACCCCATTATAAACAAGGCATTTGTTGCATCCAAACAATTTAGATTAAATTGTGCATTTTTATTTTGTAAATTGCAACAGTAGGATGTAGAGTGACAAAGATAAATGCTGATGTAGGACTTCAAAATGCTGAAGGTTTCCAAAGCCCACTCTGAATGACCCTTCATCCTCCAGCAGGCAAACCAATAACTAAGACAACATCATATTGGGATAACATTATGAGGTACTCTACAAAAGGTTGGGAGCTCTTGAATTGAAAGTAACAGCAACCATTTAGATCTTTCCAGGGAAGCTTCCATCCTCAATCTGCCCATTCCATTTCTCCACCTGAAGGAAGGAAAAACAAAGACACATTGTATAATCAAACAACTTCCAGCAGACCTTCACATTTCATCAGTTTTCACAATGATTGCTTGTCTCTTGCTGAAGGGAAATAGCAATTATACTTTGATAGAAGAAAATTTATTTAACAGAGTTGCTTAGCTATAAGTTTTGAATAGGGATCATGACACCATGATGATCAGTAACAGAGAACCCCGCTGGCAAAACTGTCTGATACCTGATATAAAGAAGAGTCTGTGTGGTTTTTAACCAGTTTATTTTGGTTTGATTGCAAATACTGAAAAGTTCAAAGTGGTACTCAAATTCAGAAGGACGATACCTGTGATGAACAAACCAAGGACAGGGTTCCAGTAAAAGTATTAGCAATCATGGCCAACAACGTACACGAGTCTGGACATTCTTACATCAATCCCATCAACCCCACATACACTGTAATACCTTATTTGTAGAGTCTTTAAATACGTCATAGTCACACTTGACAGTTTGCAAGATGAAAGCAAAAATATTACATCCTGTTGTGGAAGACTTCTTGGCACTACCTTCATCTTTGTTTGCAAAACTGTTAGAATCTGAAGGTTACAAAGAAAATGAACTTGAACTTATTTTCAGAATAAAGCCAAATCTAGAGCGAAGATCTGAGGATGACAGTTCAGATAAAGAATAAAGATTCCAATTATAGACAGGCAAACGTTCGCTAATGAGTTTTTATGTCTCAAGAGATTTATTCTAGAAAGCATCTAAGGCTACATTCTCAGTGCAAACCTCAATTCTGATTTCATTTTTTTTTTCTAACATGGCCAATATCAAATTTGAGTGTAAACTGGTCACACTCCTGAAATGACCCGCATGTGCAAAAGAACAAACACCACAGATTGCACACAGCACCCTGTCATACAAACACGCAGGCCACTGAAATCAGC